ATCAGCAAAAATAGTCACGATTTTCTTTCCTAAGCTTAAAATTCATTTAGTTCCATTGATAATCATCTGTCACGTGACTTTTTTTTTTCTTTCGTGTGAAAAAAATTTATTTTCTTCATCCATTAGATAGGGGAAAAAAATAAATAGATATTTTATAATCAAAAAGAGAAAAATAATTATTTAAAAACAGAAAGAATGCTTTATTAATAACAAAAAATTTTTTAAGACTCGATATTTTGATTTCAATTAATAAATTTTTTTTATTATATTGTTGTTTATTACAATATACGATAACGACAATTTTATATATTAGAATTCTTTTCTATATACAACAACGAATATTGTGTTATTTTACTTATTCATCGATTCATCAATTTTCTGATCTGCTTCTGAGATTATAGTCACGTATAGGCGCTTCCAACATTATAAACGTAGACGTGCTAGCGTGCTTGAAAATTATAATACACCTTACTTTGTCGACTGTCTGTCGAGTGAATATTTTATTAAACTCATAAAACGTAAAGCCACACATTTTGTTTACGAAGGTGGACACATTTTTTTTTCGACTCTCTTTATCTTTTACACTTATCAATACCATACAAAAAAAAAGAATACTGCGCATCTTTAAGCAAAACAATAATTCTAGATTTCAAACATTATTTTATTTATTTTTCTCAATTTTCCTTTATAAATTAATTTTTTTTATTTATTTTTCGTTTTATTTTAATTATATAATTATTATCCTAAACAAAAATTTGGATTCATTTTATTTTGCAGTTGAAAATGACATGGAAGGTGGCGCCACTTGACACATTTTTTTGCAGTTAAATATGAGCTAATGGTAAAGGGTTGCCATGGTAACAGTTGTTATGGAAACGGTTGCTAAGGAAAATTGTTGCTATAGTAACAGTTGCTATGGTAATGGTTGTCATGGAAACGGTTGCTATAGTAACTGTTGTCATGGAAACGGTTGCTATGAAAATGGTTGCTATAAAAATGGTTGCTATAGTAACTGTTGTCATAGAAACGGTTGCTATGGAAGTGGTTGTCAAGGAAACGGTTGTCATGGAAACGGTTGCTATAGTAATGGTTGCTATGGAAACGGTTGCTATAGTAACTGTTGTCATGGAAACGGTTGCTATGGAAATGGTTGTCATGGAAATGGTTGCTATGGAAACGGTTGCTATAGTAACTGTTGTCATGGAAACGGTTGCTATATGGTAACTGTTACCATGATAACCGTACGAGTGTACGATGGACGGACGGACGGACGGACGGACGCCAAAGCGAAACTATTTAATCATTATTAAAAACGTGTTTCAAGAAGAAAACAAAAGAAATGCATTATCTTAAATATTAATTATTGTCAAGAAGATTATATAACATAATTGATTTTAATTGTATGCATTAATAGTAAAATAGACAGTGAAAAGGGAAATTTTATTTTAACAGTTTCCAATGAAAGAATTTTATATTATTTTCATCAAAGTTGATCTTCAGAAGTACCCTATTACTCAAAGCTTGGAGTAAATCTTAGGGGCAACACGCGTTAAACTTAACAGTCGGTTAAGTTCAACAGTGGGGTGGATGAGCAATACACAGAGAGAGAGAGGTTTTGGTCTCCCAAATTGCAGTCAGAAGCATATAGAGACTGATACTGTAAGCCACCCTTGTTCAAGTGGGAACGAGGTCGTCTAACTATATATATATATATATATCCCCGTAGTCCTGTCTTATCTCGATTTGCATAAATTCATAGTTTGTGGCTTAGAGGTCTTCGGGCCTAAAGTTATATAGAAGCGTTCAGACAACTTTCTTGACCAATGGAATTTACTTTTCAAAATTCATTTGAATTCAAAAAATGTTGTCAATAATAATCATAAAAAGAATTATTTACATATTTTTAAATACCAAAAAATATCAACAACAACAACAACAATATAAGAGAAAGGAATTTTTTTTTTTCGACATCGACAGCCAAAAAAAAAAAAATGACCTCATAAAGTGAAGCTTTTCAGAGTAATGCTGTGTCTATCGTGCTCGTCACTCGAGATTCTTGTTTTGCCTTGTATCCCTCTTGTTTTTCCCCAAGAGAAGTGAACTAGTCAACAATTTTTTTTTTTTTTTTTTTTTTTTTTCAAGCAGATATCCTGGCATCCTGACGTGGCACTACACGGAGTTTGACTGCTCCGTGTCGCAAAGCTCAGCACATTTGCTGTTTGCCCTGAAGCTTTTCACCGATAATATTTTCATTTTGTGCCGACTGTTTACGATCTCTTTGGGCACCATATATTGCTCCTTTGTCGCGCGCGCGTCTCCAACCTCCCACATCTTTACCTTCACATCCCATTGCCAGGAGACACACTCTTTCGCGCTGCCACACTCTCTTTCTATATATATATATATATATATGTATTGAACGAGCTTAAAAGCTCTGAAGAACCCTGAGGCACGCCCGTGCCCTGAGAACTTGAAAGGAACTTGGCGAAAAAGAGATACTTCACTATACAACAAGAGCTTTCCTCGGCTTACCGCTTGTCTCCAACACTACATCTCTCTACAGCATCCAACTCGAGTGCATCTTTATAATCTCTCGCGTTGATTGTTTCAAAATTCGAAAATATCCTTTCAATTACTACTGTTAATTATTATTGTTAATTTTTTTTTTTTATTTAAATTAGGATAAATCTGCGAGAGGAGCACGTAAACTTGACGTAATGTTACATTTTAATATTGAGGTAACATACTATCGTAACATTGAGGAAATATTACACTGTAATATTCAGGTAATATTACATACTGCACTGAGATACTTTTTTGGGTTTCGTGGCAACCGTTTCCATGACAACCATTATCATAGCAACTGTTTCCATAGCAACCGTTTCCATGACAACCGCGTTAGCATAGCAACTATTTCCATGGCAACCGTTTCCATGACAACCGCGTTAGCATAGCAACTATTTCCATGGCAACCATTTCCATGGCAACTGCTTCCATAGCAACCATTACTATAGTTACTGGAAACATATAGTAACCGGTAATACAGTAACCATATAGTAACCGGTACCATAGTAACCGAAACCATATAGTAACCGGAACCATATAGTAATCGGTACTACAGTTGTTGGTACTACAGTTACTGGTACCATAGAGTAACCATTACCATAGTAACCGGAACGATATAGTAACCGGTACCATAGTAACCGGAACCATATAGTAACCTGTACCATAGTAACCGAAACCATAGTAACCAGGACCATATAGTAACAGGTACCACAGTTACCGGAAACATATACTGCCGCCCCAACAAGAATAACCGTATCTGCATTTAGGATGAGTCACCTACTTACCACTGCCACTGCCACCAATAAGTGACTTAACCAAAATGTAGTTACTGCTACTCTTGTTGGGACGGCAGTATAGTAACCGGTACTACAGTTACCGGAACCATATTGTAACCGGTACCATAGTAACCGTAACCATATAGTAACCCGTACCATAGTAACCGGAACCATATAGTAACCGGTACCATAGTAACCGGAACCATATAGTAACCGGTACTACAGTTACCGAAACCATATAGTAACAGGAACCATGACAACCGTTAACATAGCAACCATTTCCACAGCAACCATTTCCATAGCAACCGTTTCCATAGCAACCATTACTATAGTAACTGTTACGATAGCAACCACTCGCATAGCAACCCTTTACCATAGGAATTGTTACCATAGCAACCATTTTGTTGTGCGTTTAGTTTGAAGTTCGATTTCAACTTCGTTGACAATATTACCTCAATAAAATAATAATAATAATAAATAATATAAATGCCGCGTAATAAAAAATTGCTCAAAGAACGATTTCTTAATTGTCAATTCACTCCAGTAGGATTAGAATTGGTCGATATTAGTATGTATATATATATATATTTGATCGGAAAATAAACGCAAGAGTTATCGTGTGTCCGGCGTTATCATGAACTAGTTAAAAGGCGAGCCGATCGATAACAAGATTTCATGCTCGTGGACTAAAAGAGCCAATCCCGCGAGGTTCGTCGCGCGATGCACGATTCAGATATAAATATACAAGATGCATATATATATATATATATATATATATATATATATATATATATATATATATATATATATATATATATATATAAACATAACAGGTGTGTGAGTGGTTTAAATTGCGTTCACTTATCTATCAATAAACACGCTTAAACTTTATATATATATACCATATGTCGTGTTTTGTACACCGAAAATTAAACTTTTTTTCTCCTAATATGATCGGTTTGCTTTTAAGATAAATAAAACTAATAATTCGCAATTGAACTTTTAGAAAAACAATTTTTAAAATAATAATTAATTTTCTTCTTTTTCTCTTTTTTTTATTCCTTTTCTTTCGTTTTTCAATAATTCTTATGACTTTTTATTTCTCCAAGTGGACGGTAAAATGATTAGAGATCATTAGAAGTCTTGTGGACAAAAAAAAAAAGCGCAAAGTCTTTTGAGACAAAGTCCAAAAGCTCATTCATTACACGATTTCTCTTCTAGTTTTTCGCTCTCATTAGCAACGGCTTAAAGTTAAGCGTCTCGACTCTCTTTCTCTGTTCTCTAGATTTTATAACTTTCTTTTTTATATATATATATAATTAAATATATATCTTGTCAAAGACCCTCTTTGATAGTTATACTGGAAAACAAGTCAAAGTTTAGTTTTCCATTTTTGTTTTTCTCTCTAAATTGCCGCATTCTCGAGAACTTTTTTAATTCCTTAAAAAAAAAATTACTAAACTTTTTGTTTTCTATTTTATTTATAAAAAAAAAGAAATTTATATTTTCAATTACCATTAAAATAATTAATTGATATTAATAATTTTTGAATAAAATTAGATTTTTAATTAATTTTTTTTTAAATTAAAATTTATACTAATTTTTGTCTAATTAAAAATTTTTATTTATAAACAAAAAAAAATGTTAATACAAAATATATTTATTTTTTTTTTTTCATTTACTATTTATAATCTCAGTAAAGTTCTTAATTAAAAATTAATTTAAAAATAGTTTAAAAAAGATGGTGTCCTGTTTTTTTTAATTTGGCCTTCCCTTCTAACAAATCATCCCTTGTTATAACAACTTGGCACCTTCCGGCAAAACGATTACATGTCATTTTCACATTGCTGCAGCATTCATCAGAAGATATGCACTGAAAAAATAATTTACCTTTTTAATATATTTGGATTTAATATATTATAAATATAAATATATATATATATATATATATATATAAATACTTACACCCAGAGAAATGATTTATTTGAACCAAATAAAATATATTTGAGTTAAATAAATGTATATTTGTCTCTTATTTATTTGGCGTAAATAAAAGTTTTATTTGTCAGAAATAAATTTTTCTTTGGCTCAAATAAAAATTAAATTTATAATAAATTTTTTATTTCAATGAAATAAAATATATTTGCAACAAATAAATGAGTTAGTAGGCTCGGAGACAAATATACCATTTCTCTGAGTGTATTAATACAAATATAATAATAATAATAATAATAATAATAATAATAATAATAGTAAAATAATAATACTAATAATAATGTAAATAAATAAATATAGTAAATTAAGTAACAAGATTAGTTATCATTTCAAATATTTCAATTATTTATATTATTATCATTGACTTATATAATTTAATAAAAATATAAGATTAACGTATTTCCATATATATATATATATATATATATATATATATATGAAACAAAGGTCGTGATCTTAAAATATCAATCGCATTTATGAATATAACCTTTTGACATGCAACACGTGTCATTTGATGCCATTCAGTCAATGAATCGTTATTTGTAATTTATTAAGTTGTTGACAGTGTGGTTTCAAGTATTTGCCGCGATGTTAATTTATTTCCGAGATTAATTATATGTTGAAAAGCCTCATCATTATCCGCGGTAGTATATAATTCGAAATTACCATTTTACGGTGAACCGTTTTTCCACCGATGAAATTAAAATTAAACAATTTAATTAAACACAAAAAAAAAGAAAAAAAAAAACGAAACAAAATATCATAATATTGCAAATTATTGGGAAAATGTGCAAACACGTGACATTGTAAACATATTATTCACACTTATTTTTATTTAATGTGGAATTTTTAAATTTAAACATTTAAAGGGCATTTTAAGAGATGTGTCAATATATATATATATATTTTAATTTAATTTAATTTAATTTTTTAATTTATTATTTATAAATGTTAATTTATTAAAAAAAAATTTTAATTCCGAATATTAAAAGTTAAAAAAGAAATAATGTTACGAATTAATGACAAATTAATAAATGATTTTAGATAACTTACGTCATCGCCATGCCGCTTGCAAACAGGTGAATCGACAGGGGAACCTGGTCGTGTTGCAGTACGACTTGAAATAATTGTCACCGTCAAGCAAAAAACAATACTCAAGAGAAGAAGTTTCATTTTGATAGTTTATAATTTCCTAAAAATTTATCTAGAATAAAAATCATGTTTTTATCACTCAATAAATATATGATAAAATACAAATTTTTTTTATCTCAATATTTATGAATAATGAAAAAATTATTAGATATTTATTTATTTATTAACATTTATAAAAAAAAATTGAAAAATTAATTAATAAGTAAATTAATAATTATAAATATTTTCTTTGTTTATCTCCATAAAGGAAAACGATAGTTAGATGCAAATTAAAATAAATTATAAATTAATTTATCATTCATGTGGATTTAACTCTTTTTTTTGAAAATAAACTAATTTCTTTCATTAAATAATAAAAATTAATGTATTTTAATTTATTCTTTCCATCGGGTTTTGTCCAATTAATGATAATTAAATACTAATTAAATTTAATTACTATTTAATTATTTATTATATAATAAATTAATATAATTAATTAATATAATTATTATATAATTATTATATAATTAATTAATATAATTATAATATAAATAATTGTATAATTAAATAATAATGAATGTTAATTAATATTTAATTATTTAGAAAAAAAATCTATAGTACTTGTAGGAAAATCATTTTTTGAATTTAGCTAAAAAATTGTTCAAGTTGAAATTTTCCGGTATCTATAAAATTGATTTTCGATAAATATTTCAATAAAAAAAAAAAAATCACTTTAAAATGATTGAAAAACTTTAAAGTAATGCAAAACCTTTTTTTATACTACATTACAACGCAGTTAATTGAAGGATTGACCTTCGAATGAATCACGTTCTTTATTAAAACTTGCTGTGTCAAGGAAGAAGTGAATATTAGGCCTTAGGTATATTATTTTCTAAAATTTGTTTTTTTTTTTTATTTAATTTTCCCTTTCGTATCTAAAATTTATTAAAATATTTATTTACAATTATAAAATTGTATTTATTAAATATTTACCAATTGCATAGTAACTTATTAAATTTATTCATTCAATTACTTAATATTAATTTAATTAATAATTAATAATTAATGATTAATAATTAATAATTAATATTAATTTTTTGTTCTTAGTTTTTAGTTTCACCACTCTGAATAAAGAAAATTTCTATTTGCAATTGAATTTAACATTCACGAAATAATTATAAATAATAAAAATTTAACTTTAAAACGCGTGAAAATTAATTAAAAAAAAAAAAAAATTATAAAAATGATGAATGAATTATTAATTACTCACTATTCACGTGAATCTTTAACTAAATTTATTCGTCGTCGTTGGTAAATCGTACGAGACTGACTTTTCATTTAATAACATTCTCGTTTATATGTCTACTTGTCTTATAAATGTATACGTAATTTATGCATGACGCAAAGTCAGTCACTCTCAGACAAACACACACACACACACACAGAAAATCACTGCGATTGAACTTGAAGTTTTCTAATATATTGCTCTATTAAAAAAGGACATTTAAAAAAAAAAAATGAATCAGTGAAATTCAACAAAAGAATTGGAATTTTTTTTTCGCAATAAAAAAATATGAGATTTGTGAAAAAAAACTTTATATTGTTCTGGAATTTGGGACAAACACGTTTTCAATATTATTAAACTGTAATTATATCAGGGTAATTGAACTGGTAATCAGTTTATTGATTATTATTGGTTAAATATTAAAAAAACCAATAAAATATAATCTAAATAGAGGTTGATTTTATCAGACTATATATGACAGATTAAAAATGATCGAACTGTTTTAGTCTCGTATCATCGGTGATATATATATATTAATAATAAGCGTTACTATTAACAGTATACTATTTTCATTTTATATCGACAAAACTGTAAGAGAAAAAAAATATCATTAATGTTTTAATTAAGAGCAATATTTAAATTTTATTTATTTATTGTTATACTTTTTTTTTAGAAAAGATGTTAATTAGTCTCTTTTAAAAAAGACAATATTTTATGTAACTTGTACATAAAATTTAATTCATTTTATTAATTAATATTAATTAATTAATATTAATTAATAAATATTATTTTATCAATATTAATTTATTAATTTCAATTATTTTAACTATTACAGAAACCGTTTTTTCTGATTACTTAAATACAATTACAATGAAAAAATTACTGTCAATTTTTATACTAATTGCTATTGTGACTGCATATGTTGTGAGTGTCGACAATAAAAACTGTATTCCTAGAGGTGAAAAAGTAAGTTTTTTATATTTTTACACTATCAAATATATTCTTTTTTAAAAAAAAAAATTAAATGGTATTATAACCAAAAGCTTATTTTTTGAATTTAAAAAATACAAAATCTTCTCAAAATTCTGAGCGAGTTGAGCTTAAAATTTATCATCAAAAATGCAAAAGAAAATTTAAATTTTAAAAAATTGTAAAAAATTTTTTTTCAATTCACAGAACTACAAAAACAGTATATATATATATATATGAAAAATGTTATATTGTTACAGTGTTACCGACCTAACGAATGTTGCGAAGGACTGTTTTGTTTATTTTACGCTAGAAGATGTGTGCTCGGAAGAAATATTCTTGAGAACAGAAGATTCATTCGTACATAGAATTATACTTTTATAAACTCAAGTTTTCATATAAATAAATAAATGAAATTGTAATTTAAAACGGTTGCTAAGGAAAAAAACGGTCATGGTAACGGTTACTGTATGGTACCGGTAACAATTGTACCGGTTACTATATGGTTCCGGTTACTATGGTGCCGGTTACTATATGGTTCCGGTTACTATGGTGCCGGTTACTATATGGTTCCGGTTACTATGGTGCCGGTTACTATATGGTACCGGTAACTATTGTACCGGTTACTATAAGGTTCCGGTTACTATGGTGCCCGTTACTATATGGTTCCAGTTACTATGGTGCCGGTTACTATATGGTACCGGTAACTATTGTACCGGTTACTATATGGTTCCGGTTACTATGGTGCCGGTTACTATATGGTTCCGGTTACTATGGTGCCGGTTACTATATGGTACCGGTTACTATATGGTTCCGGTTACTATGGTGCCCGTTACTATATGGTTCCAGTTACTATGGTGCCGGTTACTATATGGTACCGGTAACTATTGTACCGGTTACTATATGGTTCCGGTTACTATGGTGCCGGTTACTATATGGTTCCGGTTACTATGGTGCCGGTTACTATATGGTACCGGTTACTATATGGTTCCGGTTACTATGGTGCCCGTTACTATATGGTTCCAGTTACTATGGTGCCGGTTACTATATGGTTCCGGTTACTATGGTGCCGGTTACTATATGGTACCGGTAACTATTGTACCGGTTACTATAAGGTTCCGGTTACTATGGTGCCCGTTACTATATGGTTCCAGTTACTATGGTACCGGTTACTATGGTACCGGTTACTATATGGTTTCGGTTGCTATGGTACCGGTTGCTATGGTAACTGTTGCTATTGTAACTGTTGTCATGGTAACGCTTATCTTGGAAACGGTTGCTCTGGTTTTTTTTTATTATTCAAATATAATACAAAATTGTAATCTCCGAATCTGAAATAAATAAATCATTTTTTGAACCATGTTTATTATTTTTAATATATAATAAATTATAATTATCTAATTATCATTTAAATGTAAATGTTTTTTATTTCTCCGATTTGAAATTCCATTTATACAAGAACCATAAATTTTGTATTACTATATAAGATAAAAAAAAATTTCTATATATTTTTTATAATATATATATATATATATATCAAAAAGAAAATTTCCAATGATTTAAACAAAAATTTTACCAAATTTATTGCAAATGGAAAGCAAAATGGAAATTGTAAATATATGATATTAGAATGAAATGAAAATTATATTTTTGTAGAAAATTCTAAATTATATTCACAATAAAATATATCTTATCGCAAATGACATACTCCATTTGTAGAAGAATCATTATTTATTCGAGTCACATATATATATATAGATAATCAGGAAGGCCAAATGAATTATTTTTTAAGATTGTAGTTTTTCTCTCACTTGTTCATAACAATTCCAAGAAATGATTTAATTTAACTTTTATTAACTTTCTCGGTAAATTAATCAGCATCACACGCGGATATGAAATTTTTTTTTCTAATGTTAATTAATTAATTTGTTTTCACGAAATTTTACTACAAGTGGTTTTCTATTTTGTTCTAAAATGTTAATTGTAACTTATATTATTTAATATTATTACCGGGGGGTTTCTTTTTTTTTATTATTAAAAAAAAAAAAAATTTCTACTGAACAATAAAAATATAAAAAATTTATTTTTTCTTGAATTAACAATAATGTTTTAGATGATTTTTTGTATTGCATAAAAACAGAACGAATTGATACAATTTACACAATATGTAGTTAATTTTATTTGATAGTTTTAAAGATTCTATATAATAAAATGATATATATGTAAAAGGTAATTAAATCCTAAAAAAAATCTTAAAATTATTTAAGTACACATATGTCACATCTGGTAAAACTGTTTTAAAGTTAAATTATTTATCATTTATTATAAAAAAAAAATGATTGGTGCTAATTAATTTTATTAATTTTTAGGAAATGGTTCAAGAGGTCTCGTGTCTTGTCCTGGAATAATTAATCCACCTTTATGAATGCACTTTGCTGAATAAGTCATACATTGTAAATGTCTGCAACATTCAGATGATTCTTTGCACTGTAATTAAAAAAAAAAATTCAATTAATTTACAAGTTACAACAATTTCAATATTTTTAATTTTTTAAAAGAAATTCATTATTTAATAAAATTATTTACTATTATTTAAATTTAAATTATAAATATTTATTTAATTATAATTATAATTATTATTTATTTAATTATAATTATAATTATTTATTATTATTTAATTATAATTATAATTATTAAAAGTATTTAAAATATTAAAAAATATACAAAAATAACTATAAATTACCAAAACAGTTATTCTCGCGATTTGAGATTTAAATGAAAAATAAAACTTACATATCCATAGAGAGGACTGCACAACGGTTGTGTATTATCTTGTCCCGTTACGATCATGACGAATAATGTAAAGCAGAGGAATAATAAAATCTTTGCCATTTTTTGTTACAAAATTTTTTAATCGAATCGATTTCTGTAAAAAAAATATATATACAATAATTAATGGTTAATTAATTATTATAAAATAATTATTTTTATACACTAATTAGTAGTTTTCTATTAAGAATATTATAAACGGTTACTAATTCATTTTATTAACGAATTCCACGCAGTTAGTTATTTTTTGACTAATTTAGAGAGTAAAATTAATTTCGTTTGCAATAAAGAAGAAAATATTTAAAAAATTGTAAATATTTATATGAAATTTAAAATTATAATAAAATAATATTTATATTATATTCAATATTATTATTATTATTATTATTATTATTATTATTATTATTATTGTTATTATTTAATAATAACAAACAGAAAATTTTCAAGATTCGATTAAAGTTCAAAGTTGAAAATAAAAATTATTTAACAAACCTGAACTTGAAGTAATCTTTAACTATATAAAGAAACTGAGATTCCATGCGAATTTACCGGCGTATTTATACTAACTGGTGTTAAAAGTCAGGATTTATTTATGCTGGCACCTTCTTCTTTTATGTGCCTCCAGAAAGTAGGGGACGGGTTCATTCAAAGTCAATTTTGCGCGTCATTTTTTTTTTTTTTTTTTTTTTTCACCATTCTTTTATTACGTCTGTATTGTTTATTTCCAATTGACGAGATATATGCGGGATTTCATATATTACGATACATTAGTCAGCATTCAAAATTTAGTTAAATTAATTTAATTTCTATTTATTTAATTTAATTTTTTTTTCCCATTCCATTTTCATAAATTCATTATATTATTGTAAATTAATTTACATTGGTTATTTAAATTTATTAATTGATTAACCAAATTGGAGAAATTTCTCAATAATTTTCTCGAAAGTGATTTTTAATGAGAAAAATTTAATAACTAATTATTCTATATTTGCATACGTATATTTTTTTCCTTTAATTTCCACTTCATCATTTCCTGTTTTTCCTTTTGGATAAAAAATTCGGAAGTAAAAAAAAAAAAAAAAAAAAAAAAAATAAGAAATGAAATAAAATCTGAGTAAATTAGAATTTATTTAGAATACAAATTACATATGGTGGTACCACAATAAGAATAAAATTTTTATAATTTTTTTTTTTTTTCAATTAATTTGTTTTGCAATCAATATTCAAGGTGCTTCATCAACTGGTGGTGGAACTGGCTTAACTTTGGTGCAACGACGAGCCCAAATATTACAATGAAACATTGGACAACAATCATCATCTGACATGCACTGTTGAAGAAAAGAAATTCAATTAAAAATTTATTTATATTAAATATATATATATATAAATATATAACTATATTGAATCTCTTGAAAAAATTATAAACATGATATAATATTAATCATTTTTTGATAATCAATTTGCATTTGAATAACAAAGAAATAAAAATAGCATGATAAATTGTTTTTATCATGATTGCCAAATCAATAAATATATATTTCGATTATTAAGTTTATTCAAGGATTTAGTATAGTGAATTTAAATTACATTCCACATGAATTTATTATGCAATAAAAATAAATATTTTATAATAAATGAATATTATTATAAAAATTATAATAAACTCATTGTATTTTTCATTAGTGGGCCATGGTAACGGTTGTTATGGTAACTGTTGTCATGGTACCGTTGCTATGGTACCGGTTACTATATGGTACTAGTTACTATATGGCTACGGTTACTATATGGTTCCGGTTACTTTGGTACCGGTTACTATATGGTTCCGGTTACTATGGTACTGGTTACTATATGGTACCGGTAACTGTAGTGCTGGTTACTATATGGTTCCGGTTACTATGGTTCCGGTTACTATGGTTCCGGATACTATGGTACCAGTTACTATAGTACCAGTTACTATAGTACCGGTTACTATATGGTTCCGGTTACTATGGTACCGGTAACTATATGGTAACGGTTACTATATAGTACCGATAACTGTAGTGCCGGTTACTATATGGTTCCGGTTACTATGGTTCCGGATACTATGGTACCAGTTACTATAGTACCGGTTACTATATGGTTCCGGTTACTATGGTTCCGGTTACTATGGTACCGGTTACTATATGGTTCCGGTTACTATATAGTTCCGGTTACTATATGGTACCGGTAACTGTAGTGCCGGTTACTATGGTACCGGTTACTATATGGTTCCCGTTACTATGGTACCGTTTACTATATGGTAACGGTTACTATATGGTACCGGTAACTGTAGTGCCGGTTACTATATGGTTCCGGTTACTATGGTACCGGTTACTATATGGTACCGGTAACTGTGGTACCGGTTACTATATAGTTCCGGTTACTATATGGTACCGGTAACTGTGGTACCGGTTACTATATAGTTCCGGTTACTATGGTACCGGTTACTATAGTACCGGTTACTATGGTTCCGGTTACTATATGGTACCGGTTACTGTATTCAGGTTTCTTTTGTGATAGTAAAAATTTAAAATTAGTGACTCACTTTTTTTTGAATTAGTCAAATTTGATAGTAAAAATTTATTATTTAATTTTTAATTAATTAAAAAGCAAATAGTGAGTCACTTATTCAAATGAGTTAAAATTTTTACAACTATAAATTCTTTGAACGCAAATAATAAATAAATAAATTTGTTTCAAAGTACGTTTATAAGATTTAAATTATTTTATCTTCGAGTTATATTTGATGTAACTTTTTTTCTTTTTGCATAAATAATTGTGTGACTTACTGGAAAACCCGGTGGATTGCATGCAATTGCAACGCTCACTGCAAGGAAAGCGATGCAAAGAACCAATAACAATTTCGACATTTTGAACCTTAAAAATTAAAATCTTAAATTTTTAGAATTAATTTATTTATTGAATTAAAACTGTATTAATAAATAATTTAATATAAATATTTTTAAATAAATATTAAAAATTAATAAATTAAATAAAATTACTTGCTTTTGAGAAAGGATAACTTTGAGATGAACTTTTCGTTGTTGCAATAATTCTGATTTCTGATAAACTAAGATCGACCCTTATATACTTAATTTTGCACATTAATAGTTGTATTTTACCTTGGTAACCTAATCGAAATAATCTTTTCCATTTGTTTGTAATAGATCTTTATCTAAAATTTTTTATTTATTGAATTCACCACACGCGGAGGTAAACATTTCCATTGAGATGAGGTTATTTTGAAAAAAAAAAAAAATTAATTAATTTCCTGGAACAATGAGCAATTTTTCATTTACGGGAGAAAAAAAATTTTATAATTGTTATACATATTGACTCGTAATAATCAAAATATTTTATTCTCATTCAAGGGGGTTTTTCCATTTTTGTTATAAACGTTAATTACTAATTTGTTTCCTCAAAATTTTTTCCATAATGAAAATTTATATTTATAAAATATAAATTTTTATATTTTTTATATTTAGGAAATATTGAAATTTTATTTTTATTAATTTTAATTTTTTTTTTTTTCGAAAAATTGCACGTTATTAAATGGTAATTATTTTTCTCGATTGTTTCTAATTTATATTAATTTATCTTTATCTGGATAAATTTTCAAGTGGAGGTTAAGCTTTATCTTAAAAGGTGACAAACACGTTATTTTATACTGGTCGCAATGTAACATATGTGAACGTTACAAATCTAGAATTTTCTACGAAATGTTGATTCTTTATTAAGAGAAAATATATATTATTGCAAAATGTTCAATAATTTTCCGTTTATTTATCAAAAATTTAAAAATCATAAGAATAAATAATAAAAGAATTATTTCATAAATAGAAAATTAATTAAAACAAAATCGATATAAATAATAAACAAAAAGTGGACAACCTTTAAAAGTATTTAAAAATTTAAATTTAATTAGTTATTAATTAAATTAATAATATAATGTAATTATTTATTTAAATTAATTAATTATTAATTAAATTTATTGAAATTTAATTAAATAATTAATTAAATAATTAAATTATTGAAATACAATTTTTTTATTTATTTAATTAATTCACCTTTTTTTATTTATACTCAAATGTATTATTTTCAGTCGACAAATATTTAATTTTTGAACAATAATGCATGTGTATAAACTTAATGTAAATCATATATCATCTGTGAGCTGATAAAAATTAAAATAGGATCTTGAGGATCAAGAATAAATCGAGTCAGGTGATTTTTGATAAATTAATTTCAATAACAATTGTTAGCAAAATTGGTATAATAAATTAATAAAAAAAAAATTGTAAAAATGTTTAACAATATTTAAAAAATTGTCCCACTATTTTAGATATTAATTTTCTAATAATTTAATTTTTGTACATTTATATTGTTAATAAATTAATAATTTATTAATTAATAATTTATTGTTAATAAATTTATTCTTAATAAATTTAATTAATTTTTATTAATTAATTAATAATGAATTAAAATAATTAATTAATAATTGAATAATTAATTTGTTATTTAATTATATTGTTAATAGCAATTAAAAAATAAAATAAAACTAATGTTATTCAAATGAACTTGAAAAAAAAATTTAGAAATTAATAATATGGTAACAATTTATAGGAGATTATATTTATGGTGTGATAAAAAATTAAATTATTCTAATAAGCCATTATTAGGACATGTTTTGTTAACCAGAGAAATAATTTGTTATCGCTCGTGAACAATATTTCGAACACCTAACCATTGTGTAATGCATATATACTCTGTCAAAATATGCGAATATGGCTCGATGGACAAAAACCGCTCGACGAATTGATTCAATTGATATTTCCCGAGGGTCATGGAGAACCTCTTTAGGGCCCAATGAGAGACAGGATACAGGATCATCGTCCTAATATTTTTTTTATTACTCCAGAGTCCAACGACCTCAATATTTGCTGATGAATTAAACTTTATTCATTTTCACATTCCTTAATAATATTAAATTATTATTAATTTAATTTTTATTTAATATTTAATCAAACATTTAATTATTATTTATTAAACATTATATTATTAATTTAATTTAATTATTATTTAATTAAACATTATAAATTATTTCGATTTTTCATGATAGTAAAAAATATTTTATTATTTTTCAAATATTCCATGGAAAGTTTAAGAAAAATCTCATTGCACAAGGGTGAAAATAAAATAATAAAACTAAGTAAGAAATGAAATATAATGTACAAATATATTTCAAATGTAATATACACTGTAGAATAATAATTATTATATATTAATAATAATAATAATAATAATAATAATAAGATTTTATTTTTAAAACCGTTTAAAAAAATTATTCTTCCAGCCTCAAGAGAAAGATGTTCCACTTGATAAAAAAAAATATATTGATAAAAATTTAATCTTTTTGCATCCAAAATTAATTAAAGCGGATCTTATTGAATATAAAAGCGATGAATTTTTCTTTCACATCATAACAGTCTTGTTACTTGAAACATCAAGTTCTTCTAAAAACAAATTATCGTAAGAAATTTATAATATTATAAAAATATAAATTAATAGAATTAATAAATTAATTAATTAATAGAATTAATTAATTTATTAATAAACTTTAATAATGAAAATTTTGAAGTTAATTCAATACTCAATAAAAGAAAAATAAATTCTCGTAACATAGAAAATATTTATCATAAATAATAAATAAATAAATGAATAATAGCTAAAAATTTATTAATAATAAATTTAAAAATAAAAAAAAAACAAATTAAGAAAAATAAAATAACTTAATTAATTTTAATAAAATTATTTAATTATCCTTTATAGATTCAAATTCATTGAAATATCAAGATGAAATACTCCATTGTTTTTCTTTTGTTCATTGGACTCTGTGTCGTTGCTACTTTTGCCAACGAAGAATCGGCTGAAGATGCTGGTACAGAATGCGGAGAGAATGGAGCACCTGTAGGTTCAAGAAAACAAATTTATGTTTAATAAATAATATTTTTCATTTTATTTAAAAAAAAAAAAAAAAAAATTTACCAAGAGATAAATTCAAATTTTATAAAAGTAAAAAAAATATTGATTTATTTCAAATAAAAATAAATACATTTAATAATAATTTAATGGAGAGACTTAAGTTTTTATTTTTATTTATTAATTTTCAGTGCACCAAAGACGGCGATTGTTGTCGTGGAAATCGTTGTAATGACAAAACCCAGAGATGCGAGAGACGATGCCGCAGGGAAGGAGACCGCGTAAGTTAATTAGAATATAATTTCAAAAATTTATTTTTGTAAATTCAGCAAACGCTGCCTTCAAAAATTTTTTATTTATTTAATTAATTTAAAAAAAAAAAAAAAAAATAGGAGAGAAGCTGGTGCAGAGCGCCTCCATCGCAGGGTTACGTGGCCAATATTAATATTACCGTTGCTAAGGAAAAAAAACCTTAGCAATGGTTGCTATGGTACCAATTACTATGGTACCGTTGCTATGGTACCGTTGCTATGATACCGGTTACTATATGGTTCCGGTAACTGTGGTACCGGTTACAACATGGTTCCGGTTATTATGGTACCGGTTACTATATGGTTCCGGTTACTATGGTACCGGTTACTATATTGTACCGGTTACTATGGTACCGGTTACTACATGGTTCCGGTTACTATGGTACCGGTTACTATATGGTACCGGTAACTGTGGTACCAGTTACTACATGGTTCCGGTTACTATGGTACCGGTTACTATATGGTACCCGTAACTGTGGTACCAGTTACTACATGGTTCCGGTTACTATGGTACCGGTTACTATATGGTTCCGATTACTATGGTACCGGTTACTATATGGTACCGATTACTATGGTACTGCTTGCCAAAGCGAAACTATAAGGCTTTCGGGCCAGGGTCACGAACCCCTAAAAAAACAATAATGTTTAAAGAATAATTATGTATTTTTTATTTTTAAAAAAATTACTTTTTTTATTTTAAAAAAATAAATAACACTTTTATTTAATTTGTACAGTGTGAGAGAAATACCGAATGTTGCGAAGGAATGAAGTGCCGTAGAAACAAATGTGCCCGTCAAGATTGCGGTAGAGGAGGTGACAAGGTATGTAAATTTAGTAATATTTCTTGTAATTTTTGTGGTATTTATTTATTATAAATTATTTCTTACAAAAAAAACGCTGATATTAAAATTTCATTGAAACTTTTATTTATAAAAAGAAACAATAATTAATTTTTTTTTTAGTGTGAGAACAACTTGAACTGTTGTCAGGGTTTAGTGTGCAGAAACAAACGATGTTCAGAAAGAATGGAAGCTTAAGAAAAAAGAAACAGACATGACTGAAAAACATTTGGACAACGAATTAAATAAATTCTACTTATTTGTTTTTTTATGCAAATTAAAATCATTTTTTGTAAATACAATAAAATTAATAAATAAATTATCTACATGAAAATTAATATTTCTTTTTTATTTCTCGCGTATTAAAGAAGATTCAATTTTCTGATAAATATAATTTTTTCCTCATCACACTTTAATTAAAATTATTTAATTATTATTTCTTAATTAATTATTATTAATTAATTAATAAACTTTAATATTTCGAAGTGCAATAATTTTTTTTTTGTAAATAATTATTTTAATAACAAATTTTTATTTTTTATTTTTATTTGATATTTATTTATTCGAATCAGTAGGAAAATAATTTAATAGAATAATTTTATTATATCAAAATAAATTGCTTTTCTTTTTTTTTTTTGGCAAATTTTACTGGATACATTGAAATAAATAAATATTGATAAAAATACACAGTTAGATTTTTTAAAAAGTTTTCCTTAAAGGGGATTATTTTTGGTGTATAAATAACGATAATTTGTTCATAAACAATTCAGTTTTGTTCTAAGGAGAAGTAGTGTGACATTGGTTAATTCTGAAAAGGTAAAAATTTTCAAATTAATAAAAAAAAAAATAAATAAATAAAGGGAAAAAAAATTTAATTAATTCTTAATTATTTAGATGAAATTTTGTACACTTTTACTTTTATGCGTTGGAATTTTCGTTGTCAGTGGTCAACCCTGTAAACCTGAGGGTAGCTTTGTAAGTGATTTATAAAATTTTTTATTCAATATTTATTTTTTATGTCAAAAAAAAAAAATAATAATAATCAATAATTTAAATTTTAATATTACCAATATGCTTTAAAGTGTTTTAACAATCGAGAATGCTGCTTTAATCTCCAATGTAGTATTTGGGACAATAGATGCTTAAGACCAGGTGCTTGCCGAAATATTGGACAATATGTAAATGAGTATATTGTTTTTAAAATTTCATTATTATTTTAATTATATAATTATTTAATATTTTCATAAATTTTTTCATTAAACTCTGAAAAATCAAAATTGTTTTATTTTTTTATTATATAATGTAAATATATATAGAAAATTTCACGAAAAAAAAAATATTATTTTCAAAATCGAATAAAAATATATTTTTTGATATTAGTGTATAAACGATTCAAACTGCTGTCCTTCACTTTTCTGTCATCCAACTCAGCGCAGATGTGACAGAGTAGATCTCTGTCAAAGAGTTGGACAACTTGTAAGTTATTAAAAAATAAGTTAAAAAGAACAAAAATAAATTATTTTTTATTAAAAAAAAAAAAAAAAAAAGTAACGAGAATTAAATTTTTTTAAGTGCCTGAGAGATGGATTTGAAAGATGTTGTCCACGTTTGACATGCAGAAACAGCATATGTTCCTACTAAATTTATTTTCAACTTAAAGAAAGCATCCGAACTGGAGATATAAAAAAAAACTAATTTTAAGAAATATTTTTATTTAAATTTTAGAATTTAATTAATAATATATGAAAATTAATTATATCCACTAATGAGAAGAAAAGTTCAAATTGAATAAGAAACTTAAAAAAAAATTGTAATACAAAAATTATTGATATTATTTACAATAAAAATTTTAAATCAGATTTTTACGATTTTTGTAAAAAAAAAAAATATTCTATTTTTCGATAAACATATTGTAAAATGCAAAAATTTTCTAAAACAAAAGTATTTGAATTAAAATTTTTATTTTTAGACGCGGAAATTTACTGCAACTACCTGTAATATTTATACATGCCAATAAATAAAGCAACATTGATAAAAAAAAGGTAATCGTTAAATTTCTAAAAATTTCCTTGTAAAATGGATTATTTTAAGAGTGTAAATTAAAATGTATATACAAACAATTTTGTTAAACACTTAAAAAAAAAAATTTATTAATCAATTTTTATTCTTAAATTTTAATAATAAAAGTTTAATAAATTTTAAATAATAATAGATTTAATAATATTTAAAATAATGAATAGTAAAAAATAATTTTTCAAAATAGTGAATCAAACAAGTTTTTTAAACCATATTTATATCCATATTCTGTTATTCTATATGTTTGTTATCTTGATAATTTAAGAATAATTAAACAGTTAAAAAAAATAATTTTTTAATTTATATTCCATTTAACTGTTTAAATATTTTCGTTTTGTTTTAAATTTCCCTTTAATTTAATTCTATATAACACATAAAGCTAATTTTATTTTTTAATAAATAATTATATTGAAAAAAGAATTATTTCATTTATTTTTTGAAAGAACGATAATATTTTTTAATTAACATTCACCACACCTGAGATACATTAAGTAAAAATAAAAAGATAAAATTAACTGGTAAATTAAAAAAAAAAAAATATTTTTGTTCGATAAATACATCACTTATTGGCAATATAAAATCAGCGAAACTTTTTTTGTTAATCATCAATTCACTTTTGGACGAAAAAAAAACCTATTGAGAATAAGGTAAAATTTATAACAAAAATATGAAATTATTTATTATATAAAAATTGCAAAAGAATTAATTAATTAATTTCAATTAATTTTATTAGATGAAATCTTTCACGATTTTACTTTTGAGCGTTGGATTTTTTGTCTTAGCCGTGAGTAGTCAAGAATGCTCCAACGAAGGACAGCGAGTAAGTAAAGAAAACTAAATAAAATTGAATAAATAATTATGTCAAAAAATAATTGATTAATTATTAATTAACAATTATGTCAACAAAAAAAATTGTAATTTATAATAATTAAAATATTTTTAATTCCAAGTGTCGAAGCGATCGACAATGTTGCCGAGATTTACGATGCAGTGAAAGGGAAAGAAGATGCGAAAGAAGAGGCGATGGAGAGGAATGTCGTCAAGAGGGACAAAGAGTACGTAAATAGTATTTAATTAACAAATTAAATTGCAAATTATTTTTATTATAATTAAAATTTAATTTAATTATAATTATAATGTAAAAAAATATTATAAAAAAAATGAAAAATAATTATTATTTTCAAGTGTCGAAATGATCGCCAATGTTGCCGAGATTTACGATGCAATGAAAGGGAAAGAAGATGCGAAAGAAGAAACGATGGAGAGGACTGTAATCGAGAGGGACAGAGAGTACGTAAATAATATTCAATTGCAATTTTTTTTTTTGATTTTCATTGCAATATTTAATTATAAAAAAAGAAAAAAAAATAATTATTACTATTATTATTTTCAAGTGTCGAAACGATCGACAATGTTGTCGAAATCTACGATGCAATGAAAGAGAAAGAAGATGTGAAAGAAGACGAAATGATGGAGAAGACTGTCAACGAGAGGGTCAAAGAGTAAGTAAAACAAATAAGTACACAAAAAAAAATTATTATGGTACCAGTTGCTGTGATACCGGTTACTATATGGTACCGGATAAAATATGGTTACTTTTACTATGGTACCGGTTACTATGGTTCCGGTTACTATATGGTTTCGGTTACTATGGTACCGGTTACTGTATGGTTCCGGTTACTATATGGTATCGATAACTGTGGTACAGGTTACAATATGGTACCGGTTGCTATGGTACCAGTTACTGTATGGTACAGGTTACTGTATGGTACCGGTTACTATATGGTACCAGTTGCTATGGTGCCGGTTAATTTAAATATAAATTTTATAAAAAAAATTTTGTTTTTTACAGTGCAGAAATCGTAATTGTTGTCGAGGTTTGAGATGTAGTAATGAACGTTGTATTCGCCAGGCAGGTTGCGGTTGGTTGGGAGAAAGGGTACATATAATTTATTATTTTTTTCATTTTCAATCAGTTGTAATTTGATATTGTTTTGTAAGTATCAATTTTTTTTCATATTGTAGAAACAAAAAAAGTACTTCAAAAAAATATCCTTAGAATAAACATAAATTAATATAATTTTATTAATCAAAAAAAATAATTTAGAAAATTTTTTGCATTCTCTTTTAGTGTGAAGACGACACACAATGCTGCAATCTCTTAAGATGTGATCGTCGTCAAAGACGTTGTGCTTGAAGAGATGAAGATTACTTTTGGAAAAAATAATTTTTAACTAGTTACCTTTATAAATGAATTCAAAATAGTTTTTTTTTCTGTAATTCTTCTGTAATTGTAATGATTTATTATTATAAACTTGTAAAGGAATTTTGAAAATTTGTATAAAAAAAGTTAAATAAATTATATCTCATAAACAATATTTACTAAACAAATTTTTAATTCATTTTATTCTTAACTTTTTCCATAATATATATACCTTTAATTAAATAATAAAAATACTGATAACAATATGGTATTGAATCAAGGTTTAAATAAAAAAAAATTTTTTTGTTGCAGATTTAGAATTATATGAGTATATTAAATTATAAACGCTTATAGATTTATATTTTATAAAATGATTTATTTTTTCTTTAAATCTTTAAATAAATTAAATTAGTATTAATAGTATTAATAGTTTATACTTGTATGTTTCCCATGGTAACAGTTACCATAGAAACCGTTTCCATGACAACCAGTACCATAGCAACCGTATTATAGCAACTGGTACCATAGCAACTGGTACCATAGTAACCGGTACCATATAGTAACCGGTACCATAGTAACCGGTGCCATAGCAACTGGTACCATATAGTAACCGGTACCATAACAACTGTACCATAGCAACTGGTACCATAGTAACCGGTACCATATAGTAACGGGTACCATAGTAACCGGTGCCATAGCAACTGGTACCATATAGTAACCGGTACCATAACAACTGTACCATAGCAACTGGTACCATATAGTGACCGGTAACATATAGTATCCGGTACCATAACAACTGTACCATAGCAACTGGTACCATATAGTAACTGGTACCATATAGTAACCAGTACCATAGTAACCGGTACCATAGTAACTGGTACCATATAGTAACTGATACCATATAGTAACCGGTACCATAACAGCTGTACCATAGCAACTGGTACTATAGTAACCGGTACCATAGCAACCGGAACCATAGAAATTGGTACCATAGAAATTGGTACCATAGAAATTGGTACCATAGCAACCAGTACGATTGAAACTGGAACCATAGCAACCGCGAATTGAACTTTATTTGAAGGTCAAGTCATGGACATTCATAGTCTTTTGAAGGTCAAGTCAAGGACATTTAAAGGTGAAGTCAAGATCATTGGAAGGTCAATTGAAGGTTATTTGAAGGTAATTTCAAGGTTATTCCAAGACATTTGAAGGTCAAGTCAAGGACAATTCAAGATCTGATTAAGTAGCACAAAAATTGACTTCCTTCCCTCTAAATTTCTTTTGAAAATGAATTAATGGCAAAAATTTATTTTAATACTTAAAATTCTGACGAAAAAAATATTAATAGTAACATTAAATGAATATCCCACAATTCGTGTTTGAGTGTAGTCTATTAAAATTATTTAATAATAATAATTAATAATAATTTACAAAATCTTCATTAACAATTTTAAATTGCAAAAAATTTTTAATCTATTTTTATTATTTGTTTTTAAAAAGCCTTAAAAATAGAATGAATTTATACAACAACAAAGAACAACAACAAAAAAAAACAAAAGTAAATTTTTAATTAAAAGAAAAACAAAGACTGAAAACACAAGAAGAAATAAATAAAATTATTGATTTTCATTTAGCAACTAAAATACATTGTAAATTCGAAAAAGGAAAAAAGAATTTAAAAAAAACATTTCATTTTTAAGCATATGACACTCATTTTTGTTTAAATAAAATAATACAATGATAAAAAAAAAATTTTTTTTTTGAGTATATAAATTGTAAGAAAATTTTTGTTTAACAGCAATTTCAGGTTTAATTTTGAAGACTATATAATCGATTTCAGTAATATTAAAAGGTAAAATTTGTCAATTATTTTAATAAAAAAAATTTTAAGAAATAAAAAAATCCTTAATTGAATTTTAAATAAAATAAAATTTGTTTAATTAGATGAAATTTTGCACCCCTGTAATATTGTGCGCTGGACTTTTTGTCTTTGCCATCAATGGTCAAGAATGTGTAAACGATGGTAATCAAGTAAGTTGTAATTAATTAACTAATTAAAAATTAGAAATAGTAATCCAGTTATTTTTACTGTACAAATAAAATAGAACTACGCCAATTATTAAAATAAAAATTAAAAAAAAAAAAAAAAATTTTGCTATTTCTAATTTTTATTTACAAAACACTGTTATTAAAAAGAAATTTAATTTCTAATTTCAAGTGTGGCGACGATCGCGTTTGCTGTGAGGGTCTCCAATGCAATGATAGATTAAAATTATGTGAACGAAGTGATTGCATGCGAGAGGGACAATCGGTAAAAATAATTTAATAATTAATTAAATTTAGAATAATTAAAATAAAAAATAATGCAACCAGAGAAATGTTTTTATTTAAAACAAATATATTATATTTGGAGTTAAATAAACGTATCAGAGCTTAATAAATTTTTTAATTTCGCGTAAGTAAAAATTTTATTTGTCATATAAATAAAATTTTTATTCAGATCAAATAAAAAAATTTTTTAAATCAAATAAAATTTTTATTTTAATTAAATAAAATTTATTTTGCATCAAATAAATGTTTATTTGAAACAAATAAAAATTTATTTGGCTTTGAGAAAAATATATCTTTTCTCCACCACCATTAAAACATAATCAATGACATTATTAATAAGATAAAAATTTCTAATGAAACAAACATTGAAATTTTTTTTTAAAATGTTGACTATTGTATTGAAAAAAAAAAAATTGTAAAATTAATTTTCAAAATTTTAGTGCAATAGACGTAGTTGCTGTCGTGATCTCAGATGCAATGATGATAGAATATGTGAGAGACCATTACTCAGGAAACGAAGACAAGAGTGTCGAAGAGAGAATCAAGAAGTATGTGCATAAATAATTAACCATTATTAGAATTTAGTAGGAATAAGGAAAATTAATAATACTGGAATAGAGAAAAAAAAAATTTTAAATGGTTAAATTTCTGATGACATTAATTATTTTTCTATTCGTAGTGTCGAGATGATGGACAATGTTGTCGAGATCTCAGATGCAGTGTAAGAAATAGAAGATGTGAAAGACGAAGAGACGAATGTCGAAGGGAGGGTCAAGAGGTATAAACTTCAAAAATTAACCATTACACTTACAAGAGAAAAATGTTTTATTTGAATCAAATATAAATATATTTGAGTTAAATAAACGTATATATTTTTTCATAGAGCCATGCTATTTATTTGGCGCAAATAAATATTTTATTTGTTATAAATAAAATTTATATTCAATCTAAATAAAAATTTTTATTTGTTTCAAATAAAAATGTATTTACAACAAATAAATGTTAATTTGGCTCTGAGACAAATATATCATTTCTCTGTGTGTATTAGTAATTAGTAATTAGTAATTAGTAATTAGTTATAATTAGTATTAGTAATTATATTAATATTGGGCAATTAAAAATACTCGAATAAGAAAAAACGTTTTAAACTTTAAAAAAATTAAATTTTTGACCAATTTAATTTTTTCTAATTTGTAGTGTCGGGATGATGGACAATGTTGTCGAGATCTCAGATGCAGTCTAAGAAATAGAAGATGTGAAAGACGAAGAGATGAATGTCGAAGAGAGGGTCAAGAAGTATGTTCATAAAAATTAACCATTATTAGAATTAGTAATTACATTAGTATAATTAGTATTAGTAACGATTAGTAATTATATTAGTATTTGTAACAATTAGTAGTTATATTAGTATAATTAGTATTAGTAACGATTAGTAATTATATTAGTATTCAGTAATTACTAAATAAACGAAAAAAAAATATTTTAAAATAGTGAAATTTTCTAATTAATTTAATTCTTTCTAATTCGTAGTGTCGGGATGATGGACAATGTTGTCAGGATCTCAGATGCAGTGAAAGAAATAGAAGATGTGAAAGACGAAGAGATGAGTGTCGAAGAGAGGGTCAAGAGGTATGTTCATAAAAATTAATTATTAGTAGTAATTGGTATTAATATTAATATTATGAAAATAATAATATTTTGAAATAAATAAAATAAAATATAAAAGTGAAACTGATGAATTTAATTTTTTTCTAATTCGTAGTGTCGGAATGATGGACAATGTTGTCAAGATCTAAGATGCAATGAAAGAAATAGAAGATGTGAAAGACGAAGAGATGAATGTCGAAGAGAAGGTCAAGAAGTATGTGCATAAAAATTAATCATTATTAATAATTAATAATTAAAATTAATAATTAGTAATTAGTATTAGTAACTGGTATTAGTAATTGGTATTAGTAATTAGTATTAGTGATTAGTATTAGTATTAGTATTAGTATTAGTATTAGTATTAGTATTAGTATTAGTATTAGTATTAGTAATTAGTATTAGTAATTAGTATTAGTAATTAGTATTAGTAATTAGTATTAGTAATTAGTATTAGTAATTAGTATTAGTAATTAGTATTAGTAATTAGTATTAGTAATTACTATTAGTAATTAGTATTAGTAATTACTATTAGTAATTAGTATTAGTAATTAGTATTAGTAATTAGTATTAGTCATTATATTAGTAATAATATTAATATTAATAATTACATTAGTATTAAGTAATTAATAATACTCGGAAAAAAAACGTTTTAAAAAAAATTAAATTACTGATGGATGTAATTTTCTCTAATTCGCAGTGTCGTAATGATGGACAATGTTGTCAGAATCTGAGATGTAATGAACGAAACAGAAGATGTGAAAGACGCAACAGTGAGGATTGTCAACAAGAAGGACAAAATGTAAGTGGAGTAAAAAAAATGAATCCTAAATTAAAACACTTTTACCACATTACATTTACAATAACAAATAAAAAAAAATAAATAAAACCATTTTTTTTACAGTGCAGAATTAGAAATTGTTGTAGAGGTTTGATGTGTAATAATGACCGTTGTGTTCGACGTGATAATTGTGGTTGGTTGGGAGAGAGGGTATGTGATTTAGAAATTTTTTTTTTATTTTAATAATAAACAAAAAATTACTATTTTACAAATTGAAAATAAATTATGATAAAATTTTTTTGCTATTTCAGTGTCAAGAGAATAGTCAATGTTGCAGTCTTTTAAGATGCGATCGTAATCAAAGGCGTTGTGTTTAAAGAAATAAAAAATCATTTCTCAGCTTAATTAAATTTTTCCTTGGATTCAACAGCTTACTTAATCGTCGACGAATATTTGATTATGAAAAATATTTTATCATTGATTGATTGTTATTTGTAACAGAATTTGAATAATAGTAAAAAAAAAAAAGTAAAATAAATTATGACTTTCTTGAAAAATTTTAACAAGGACATTTTGTCTTGTTTCTTCTATTCTTTCCCTAAATCTTTAAATAAATTAAATAAGTATTAATAGTTTATATTATTAATTAACATTATAGTTTCGCTTTGGCGAACCGGTACCACAGCAATTGGTACCATAGAAACCGGTACCATAGCAATTAGTACTATAGAATCCGGTATTAAAGCAACTGGTACCATAACAATCGGTACCATAGTAAGCGGTACTATAGCAAAGGTACCATAGTAACCGGTACCAAAGCAACTGGTTCTATAACAATTGGTACCAAAGAAACCGATACCATAGCAATTGGTACCATAGAAATGAGTACCATAGTAAGCGGTACCATAGCAATTGATACCATAACAATTGGTACCATAGTAAACGGTACCATAGAAACCGTTACCATAGCAACCGGTATCATAGCAATTGGTACCATAGAAACCGATACCATAGCAATTGGTACTATAGTATCCGGTACCAAATCAACTGGTACCATAACAATTGGTACCAAAGCAACCGGTACCATAGTAATTGGTACCATAGTAATTGGTACCATAGTAAGCGGTACCATAGTAAGCGGTACCATAACAATTGGTACCATAGTAAGCGGTACCATAACAATTGGTACCATAACAATTGGTACCAAAGCAACCGGTACCATAGCAATTGGTACCAAAGCAACCGGTACCAAAGCAACCGGTACCATAGCAATTGGTACCATAGTAAACGGTACCATGTCAATTGGTACCATAGCAACTGGTACCATGACCGTTTTTTTTGTTAGCTACAGTTGCTAATGATTAAGGATATAAAAAAACAGAAAAATTTGTAAAAAATTATTTTCAAAAAAAATTTAATTGTTTTATTTAATTAAAAACGCCAAAAAAAATATATAGCCACTTTCTATTCTGCTTTTTAAAATTTACTCCGCCTTCCAAACTGATCACATAGATTTTGGTGTGATTGATTGATAAGTAGTTAAATTCTTAATCTCTTGTGACTTTTTTTAAAGAATGGAAAAAAAATTAAAATTGATTAAATTTTATATAGTATTTCTAATTTTTTTTTTTTTTTTATTAAATTATTGTAAAAAAAATTAAATAATTATTTCGTTTATTTTCTAAAAAATGGTTTGTTATATTTTTATTTATGTTTTAATAGTATTTTAGTAAAATGGTAACATATTCTATTAAATTTAAATTGTATGATACTTTTGTAATTATTCCGAAGCACAGAATGTCCTTGATTTGGGATATATTTTATTTTTGATGCAAATTTTTTATTGATTTTCATTTTCATTTCATTTTATTATTTTTCATTGAATAAATAAAATGAAGAATAAAAAATACAAAATGGAAAATTCCATGTTTTTTAGGAAATTCATACAAAAAGGAAAATTTGTTGTTTATTTTCAAAAGAATATTATTTACGAAAAATATGTTATTACTTTTTTATTTGAAATGTTTACACAAAATTCAGTTTCCAACTTGCAACAATAAGCTAATGTACTCTTTCGATAAGGATGTAAAATATTGATAATAATAATTAATCTAAGGTAATGACCGCTAGTACTTAAATCGAGGAAAGCGGATCTCCACATGTATAAATGGATGCAAATTTTTTTTGCCCAAACAATTCAATTTGAATCCTTCTAGGTGAGAAGTGGTCTTAATTGAAATTCAAAGTAAGAGAACAATTATTGCCAAATGTATTTTTTTTTTTAGTTTCCTTTTTTTCAGTAGGATAAGTACTTTTAATTTCAACTTTTTTTTTTTTTAGTTAACAAATAATTTTTTCATTTTAGGGTAAAAAAATTCATTTATCTTTCAATTTAAGTTTTTCTTTTTCCTTTCAATTGAATTTTAAATTTAATTTTCATAATAATTTAATAATAATTTAATAATTTTCTTTTAGTTTTAAAATGAAACGTAACGCTTTCTTATTTTTATTTGTGAGCGCTTTATTCGTCCTCTCATTTGCCCAAGATTTAGAAGATAGTGGAACCACTGAAGTACCAAAATGCAGCGTGGAAGGACAAAATGTAAAAAAAAAAATTTCATTTTTATTTTAAAAACAGAAATAAAAATTAAAAATTTCTACAAATAAAAAAAGGAAAAATAAAATAGAAAATTTTGAATTGAAAAAAAAAATACTTTTCATTTTTTAGTGTGATGCAACAAATCGTTGTTGTAGAAATTTAAGATGTTCTCAAACAACTAAGAAGTGTGAAAAAAGACCAATATGTAGGAACGAAGCACAAGACGTAAGTTGACATTGATTTTTAATTAATTCAAATTTATTTATTTTTTTTTTTAATATAAATAATCAAAAAAAATTTTAAATTTTTATTTCTACTTTTAGTGTGACGCAACAAATCGTTGTTGTAGAAATTTAAGATGTTCTCAAACAACTAAAAAGTGTGTAAAAAGACCAATATGTAGGAATGAAGCACAAGACGTAAGTTGACATTGATTTTTAATTAATTCAAATTTATTTTTTTTTTTAATATAAATAGTCAAAAATTTTTTTTAAATTTTTATTTCTACTTTTAGTGTGACGCAACAAATCGTTGTTGTAGAAATTTAAGATGTTCTCAAACAACTAAAAAGTGTGTAAAAAGACCAGCATGTAGAAATGAAGGACAAGACGTAAGTTAATATTGATCAATGCTAATTTAAATTTATTAAATTTAAAATAAATAAATAAAATTTTTCAATTTTTTTTTTTCTACTTTTAGTGTGATACAACAAATCGTTGTTGTAGAAATTTAAGGTGTTCTCAAACAACTAAAAAGTGTGTTAAAAGACCAACGTGTAGAAATGTAGGACAAAACGTAAGTTAACATTGATTTTTAATAGATTATAAATAAAATAAAATAATTTTAAAAAATCTTTTAATTTTTCACTATTAAATTTGTTTAAAAAAGAAAAATATTTTATTTAATTTTTAGTGCGATGCAAACAATAAATGCTGCACAAACTTGAGATGCTCAACAAGTACTAAAAAATGCGAAAGACGTCGAAATCAATGTCGTAGAATTGGACAATCCGTAAGTTTACAAATTATATAGTTTAAATTAATATTAATAAAAAAAAATTAATAAAAATTAAATTTAAATTAATATTAATGAAAAAAATGAATTTTAAATTAATATTAATAAAAAAAATTAATTTCAAATTTAATATTATTAAAAAAAAATTAATTTTCAATTAAATTAAATATTAAATCCGTAAGTTTAAAAATTAAATTCTAAACAGTGCAACAATAATAATAAATGCTGCCGTGGTATGAGATGTTCCGAAAGGACCAAAAAGTGCGAAAGAAGGCAAGGTTGTTGCCGAAAACAAGGACAATCAGTAATAAAATTTTACTAAATTATTTTTTTTTGTTTCGCTCAAAAAAAAAAAATAAATTAAAAAAAAAAAATTTTTCTATTACAGTGCTTAGGAATGAGATGCTGTAGGGGACTGAAATGCAATTGGTGGGCCGGCAGATGCGAACGTGAAGATTGTGGACGTTGGGGCGATGAGGTAAGCACAATAATAATAATAATAATTATTTTTTTTATTTTTAAAAATTTTTTTAAATTATTTTTAATATTTTTATTATTTTTATTTTTTTATAATTATTTGATTATTATTTTAAAATCCAAAAGATTTTATATTATACTGTAATTAATTATTTCTTATTTAGAAAAAAAAAATTAAGAAATAAAAAAAAAAAATTCATTCAAATAATTAAATTTTAGCAATAATTTCGAGTTACATTCTCAATATATGAAAAAAATTTATTGCAAAAATAAAAAAAAATTAATTATCGCGTAATAATAAAATTAATTATTGAGTGTAAAAATAAAAAAAAAAAAATCTTGTTTTTTTGTTTTCAGTGCCGAAACAATCGAGATTGTTGCATTGGCTTGGCGTGCAACAGAAGAACAAATTGTTGTATGAGAAGACGAGATATGGAAACTGATTCAGGAGAAGAAGAAGCTTAATTAAATATCTAGAAGAAAAAAAAATCTCCCACTCGTTAAAAAAATAATATATGACACGAATGAAATAAAGGATTTTGTATTACAATATTATATTATATGTAACCACTTTAATGTTCAATAAAGAGTCTATATTGCATGAAATAATATTATTTATTTATTTTATAAATATATATATATATATATATAAAACATCCTCGACATATTTTAGAAAATTATTTTCAAAAAAATAAAAATATTCAGAATTATAAAAAATACAATTTGCTTATTTAACGGAATATATTTATAAATTTAATATATATGAATTTATATTTAAAAAAATATTATTAAATGATATTAATTTATATTGTTAAGTTATAAATATTATTAATTTAATTAAATTATATAAAACTTATAGGATTATAATTAAAAATTCAAAATATTTATTAGAAAACTTGTACTATTTAAAAAAAAAAAAAAACAACTTTGTAAAGCCTTTTTTAGTAGACGAAGGTCACTTTTTTCAAGTATAAAAAAAGAAATTTTTTTCAGGAAAACTTTATGAATAAATAATAAATAATATTATTCGAGAAAGAAAAACAAAAAATATTTGAAAAAGAAACTAAATAAAATTATTACAAAAGTTTTTGAATTTATATTTAAGTAGATTAAAAAAAAAATTCTTCTTTATAAATAAAAGACAGTTTTTTTTTATCCAAGTGTAATTTTTATGTTAACAAAATATAATTTTGATAAAATAATACTCACATTAAAAAAGAAAGAAATATTCCATTTGGAGAATCTTAATTTTAAATATTAAATTAAATCCTTAAAATCTCTTTATTTTTAATTAATTTCATTCATTTTTTTTTATTTTTAAATGTTGTTATAACAAGTTTTTCTAAAAAAAAAATTTTTTTCTACCTCCCAAAGCAATATATTAAAATAACAATATTATAATTATATTAACAATATATTTTTTTAATTTATTTATTAAAATCTATTTATTTTTTTATTTATACAATAATGAAAAAACGAATTAATAAATAATTTTATTACTTATATTATCGTATGCTAATTACTTTTTAAAAAGAAAAAATTTTATTATATAAAAATTTATTAAAAATTTAAAAATGCAAAAAATATAGATAAAATATTTTTCGTTACTTAATACACTTTTCACTTAATATTTGAAATTTTCAAACTTGTGCAAACGAAAATATTTACTTAAAGAAAATAAAAAAAAAAAATTACACACTCCTTTTTTCATGAAATTAAATTTATTCTCAGAATTGCTTAATAAAAAATATTATTGACATTAATCATCGAGATAATTAGATTAAAATCTTTGATGTAATTAATTATTAATTAATCTTCGATTCTTTTGTTCGCAATTTTTGAGGAATGTGAACTTTTTCTGGTATATAAAGAGATTTATATTTGTTGGAATTAATAAATTTTGATTCAACTTCTAAAGCATCTTTTTAAGTGTTTAAACAAATAAAAGTAAGTAAAAAAAAAAATTTTTAATTAAAAAAATTTTTTATTAAAAAAAATTCCATTTTTGTTTAAGAAATGAAAAATTTCACATTGTTATTGCTGTGCATTGGATTTTTCATTGTCGTTACTTATGCGAATGAAGAAGAACAAGAATCAATTCAAGAACTTGATTCAGAATCAGTAGAGGATTTATTGTCATGGAGATGTAAAAAAGAAGGCCAGGAAGTAAGTAAATTGAACATTAATTAAAAAAATAATTTAAAAAATAAAAAATAATAAAATAAAAAATAAAAAAATAAAATAAAAAAATAGAAACCAAAGAAATATTAAAATAAATTAAAATAAAATTAATTTAAATATTTAATTATTTAATTATTTAATTACATGTGAAAATAAATGTATTTTAGTATCAAAAATTAATTTTCTAAATTATTAAATTTTCAATTTTCCATAGTGCAATAAACGCAGATGTTGCCGAAGATTAAAGTGTGATAACAAGACTAAAAAATGTGTAAAGGAACCATGTAAAACTGAGAATCAAGCTGTGAGTATTTTTTCTTAATAAAAATTTTATAAGTCATCGATTTTATAAACCATTTTTTATTTTTAAATGATTTATTTTAGTGTCGAAGAAACAATGAATGTTGCAAAGATTTAAAATGCTGCAGAAAACAGAGGAAATGTTTAAAAAAGAAAGAACTGATTCCAGAAGATTTAATTCCAAATATCGATATTCATGAGGACTTTGACGAAGAAGAAGAAGATTAATTTTTTTTCAAAAAATAAATAAATAAAACGATGCACTGGAATATATTAAAATAAAAAAATTAATTGCCTAATAATTATATTAAAAACCGTTTATAATTATTTATTCAATAAATAAAAAATAAAATATTAATATAACAATGTACTTTTTCTAAACCTACTGTGGTTAAAGAATAAATAAATTAATCTTATCAAGAAAAAAATTATTTCGACGCCTCCCGTTTATTAGATTGCATTTCAAAAAAATAAAATCTATCTTAAATTAAATTTTAATTCGCATTTAAAAAATAAAGAAAAAATTCATTTTTAATATTGTTTTATACTTTTTACTAAAATTAATAATTATTAATAAAATAAAAAATAAGAAAATAATACAAAATTTATAAATATTTTATTATTTCTGTATTATAATTTTATTTATTTTTCTAATTTATTAATAAATATTTTTAAAAAATCTGGACTCATTTTTGTTGCATTTCAAAATGAGCCAAACGACATAGAACTTGGCGCCACCTACGAGGCACATTTTTGTTTGCACTTCAAAATGAGCCAAACAACATAGTGTGGCGCCACCTACGAGGCACATTTTTGTTGCAATGTATCTACATTACTTATTTTGAGCTGAAATTTTTTTTCTTTTTAATTAATCTTTGAAAAGAAAAAAAATAATATCAAAAACGAATTTATTTATTTATTTTTCATACTTAAAATACAAAATGCTGCTTGAATTAACAAAAACAATTTTGTGAAGGAAAAAAATAATTGTATAACAAACATTTTTTTTTATCAATTTCAAGATAACTTTAGATTATATATTCTTTATTTAATAATGTTTTTTTTTTATTTTCTTAACTGTCACATTATTTAATAAATAATTTACGTAAAAAAATATAAAACTGCATTTTTATCAATGAGAGATCCATGTTAAAATTTTGATTTTAAAAAAAAATGTAATTGACGCCTTTATAGAATATTATGAAAAATGTATTAAAATTTTTTTTAGATTTTAGAATTTTTAAGAAAAAAAAAATTTTTAAATTTATGTTTAAGACTTTTTTGCAGTGCATGAATTTCTCATAAAAATTCATCAATTAGAATTTTTATTTTAAAGTATATTTTATTAGAAATAATTATTTTTTAGATGAATTTTTAATTTTAAAATAAAAAATTTGACAGATTTTCTTTTTACACGAATTTTTACATAACAATATTTTTAGCAATCGAATTTTTGTTTGGCAGAATTTTTTATTTTACAGTCATTTTTTTTGTTTACATGACTTATTTTATTCAAAAGAATTTCAATTTAACAGAAATAATTTTATTTTAATTTAACAAACGAATTTTTAAATGACAGAAAGTCCAATTTATCGAATTTTAATTTGTCCGGATTTCAACTTGTCCGAACTTCAAATTATCCGAATTTTAATTTATCCGAACTTCAAATTGTCCGAATTTTAATTTGTCCGAACTTTAATGTATCCGAATTTTTAATTGACAGAATTTTCATTTTTCCGAAATTACAAATAACAATGTTCTTTCATCACAATTTATTTATATTTTAACTCGATTTGGTTATAACAAAACCCTTTTTTTTAAAAAAAAAAAAGATCATTTAAACAAATGATTTGTTCCTTGATACCTCAATAAATTAATTGACGAATGCAAAGCTGATTCTGTTTCGTCATTGAAGATTAAAAAAAATTTTTTCTTAAGATCTAAGATTAGTTATGCACATGAAGATAAAAGTAATTACAATTGCAAAGAAAAAAAAAGAAGAAAATTTTGCACAATAATTGATGGTTTTGATAGAGTCATCATAATCAGAATATTAATCGCAATCAATCAATGAGAAATATCTTTATATCAAAAATGCGAAACGGATTTTAGGTGGTATAAATGGACCAAAATTTCAAATTGTAATCACAACAGTTTCTTCTTCTGGAGAAACATCAGGACCTCTAAAAAACGAACGGTAAGATTATTTCAATTAAAATAAATAATAATAATAAATTTCTTATTTTTTTTTGTGCTAATAAATTATTTCGATGAAGTTTTTAATTTTCTTATTGGTAATTAATTAAAAAATTGTCTAATTATAGAAAAAATTATTTAATTGTAAATTAAAATTTTTCCTTTCTCCAGGTTAGAAAAGGAAAAAAAAAAATGAAAGTTTGTACGATTTTGTTATTGTGTGTTGGCTTTCTTGTGGTGACAACTTTTGCTGAGGAATCAGTAGAGGGATCAGTACAGGAATCAGTACAGGAATCATCGGAGGAATTAGCATCGCCGGAAGTTGATTCAAGTGAAACTGAACTCGACACGGAATTCGAATCAGAAGAAGATGATTCAGATTTTGATCTCGAATTAGATGAACTCGCTGGAAGATGCCGTAGACGTGGACAAAGAGTGAGTTTTCAATTTAGATAATTAGAAATATGAAAAAAAAAGTTATAAAAAATCAAAAATTTGGAAAAAAAAATAATTAAATTTTCTCTTATAGTGCAATCGGGAAAATCGATGCTGCCGTCAATTGCAATGCAATCGTCGTTCAAGGCAGTGCGAAAGACGAGGTGGTGGTGGTGGTGGTGATGATGGTAGACGTTGCCGAAGACAAGGACAACGCGTAAGTCAAGAAAATTAAAATTACAGAATTTTTTTTCTTTGAAGCAAAAAAAAAAAAATTCTATTACAAATTTCTTTTTCCATTTTCAGTGCAATCGTCAAAACAGATGCTGCCGTGGATTGTCCTGCAATCGTAATAATCAAAGATGCGAACGTCGTCAACAACGTTGCCGCCGAAATGGTGAAAGTGTACGTAAACTTTTAATTTAAAAAAAAAATTAAAATTAATTAATTAAAAAAATTAATTAATTAAATAATTTTTCAGTGCCGAAATAACCGATCGTGCTGCAGAGGATCATTGTGCTCCAGGAGAGACAGAAAATGCCGTCGTAGGAACGAACTCGTCCCAGAAGAATTTATGGACGATGTTGTCAGTGTTGAAGAACAAATGGAGGAAACCGAAAACTAATCTGGAACACTTTCTATACTGGCTGCCAAAATAAAATTTACGATTTCTAACATGTATTTTTTAGAAACAAAAATTAAAAAAAAAAAAATTAGCAAACTGTAATCTATCAAAGAATCAATAAACACCAATTGCATTAAAATTAATTAGCAAATACTCTATTTACCTGACTCTTTAAAATTATAATTTTTTAATTTGATAATCAAGTCATGTAATCGATTATATTTGAATCAAATAAATGTTTTTTCCCAATGATATTATTAAGAAACGAAAAATTGAATACATAAAATCTGAAAATAGATTGAATGCTATATATATATATATATGTATATTGGCTGCTGTTTGTTATACTTGTTACTCTCAATGCCCTCGTTTTACGATAAAGCCCCCCCCCCCCCAATGGTCAACTGAAACCCCGAGAGCATTAAATCACGTCGTAGCCGCAGATCCAATTATCAAATTGTCCAGCATCGTCTGGCACTTGAGCCTATAGTCGTTCTGAAGAAGTTACACGAGACACCAGGGCAGCCAAATAGTATGCACCAAGTACCGAGAGGGACAACTTAAGGGTATGGCAATAGATTTTAGCGACAAAACCGCGTAAGACAAGCACGACACATCGGGGCTCCAAGATTTATTACTTTGAATTCGACCTCTTGGAAATCTACTTCAATCTAATTATAAGTTTATTGAGATACACTGATTAAAAAAAAAAAAAGAAATCAAAGTCAAAAACTTTTTTTGTATTAAATTAATTGTAGCTCTTCATTATTTTTTATAAAATAATAATTGTCCATGTGTTCAATAAGAAGCTTAATTGTTTGTTAATTATTTTAAAAAATCATAATTTATAATTCAAGACTCGTTATTTTAGAAAAATTCAAGAAATTCACATTTTTTTATGAAAAATGAAAATATAAAAAATTACCGACACAGAAATCTACCTTACCGACTGATGGTAAAGATATTTTTTGGAAAATAACAATATAAAAAAATTACCGACATAGAAATCTACCTTACCGATGGATGGTAAAGACATTTCTTTGGAAAATGACAATATAAAAAAATAACCGACATAGAAATCTACCATACCGACTGATGGCAAAGACATTTTTTTTGGAAAATGACAATATAAAAAAATTACCGACATAGAAATCTACCTTACCGACGGATGGTAAAACAGATTTTTGAAAAATGAACCTGTAAAAATTACCGACACAGGAATCTACCTTACCGACTGATGGTAAATATTTTTTTGAAAATTTATTAACTTTTTCCAAAGCTGTTTTACTATCAGTCGGTAAGGTAGATTTCGGTGTCAGTAATTTTTTTTTATTTTTCAAAAAAACTGCTTTACCATCTGTCAGTTAGGTAGTTTACTATGACATATTTTTTATATTTTTATTTTTTCAAAAATTTCTTTACCATTAGTCGGTAAGGTAGCTTTCTGCGTCGGTAATTTTTTATATTTTCATTTTTATAAAATCTGTTTTGCCATCGGTCGGTAAGGCAGATTTCTGTGTCGGTAATTTTTTATATTTTCATTTTTAAAAAATCTGTTTTGTCATCGGTCGGTAAGGCAGATTTCTGTGTCGGTAATTTTTTATATTTTCAAAAAATCTTTTTTACCATCTGTCGGTAAGGTAGATTTCTATGTCGGTAATTTTTTATATTAGCAGTTTCCAAAACATTTCCCTTTTCAAAAATTTCTTTACCATCAGTCGGTACGGTAGATTTCTGCGTCGGTAATTTTATATATTTTCAATTTTCAAAAAAAAATCTGTTTTTTATCAGTCGGTAAGGTGGTAAATTTGAGTCAGACACGAAGTAAGTAAGTAAATAACTAAACTACTGATAATAAAGACATTTATGTTAATTAAATTATGTTACCCTACAGACAAAGAAGTCGCGTGACTCGGAAGTAATGTTTAACCACAGGAAACAAGAACCAGAAACTATGGTCTGTACTGTTAAGTTACTGAATTAAAAAAACATTTGTTCCTTCTTAACACGCGATCAAAACCCTAATCGTCTTAATTATTAATCTTTTTTTCTTCCGCATTTAATAAGTAGATATCTTTGTAAAAAATCAATTTAAAAATATTTATTAGTTTTTTATATATATATATATATATATATATATATATATATATATAAATAAGGGAACTTTTTATTTATCTTTTTTAAGAGGGAAATATATATAGCCGACATATAACTCGCGGTGTATGAAGATTGCCTTCAAGTTTGATGGTGGTTTCCGGATGGCCTCTCAAGTTGAATCAAATCTGCGTCAAAGAAAGCGAGGCGACGAATCGTAAAAATAAAAAGCGAGTGGCAGCAAAGTCCCTCGTAAAGAGCTTGTTCTCAATTTCGAATTCGCGTATATTCATGTCGAACATTGTTTCGGCTATAAAAATAAAAAAAAAAAACTTAGTAAATTTGCCCCGACGACAAACATTTCCGCGAGACATCGAATCAAAAATGAAACTTTTACGAAACTGTTTCAGAAACAAACACCATTAAACATTACGCAAAAACTTTAATGTGACAAACTTGCTGTAACTACTCTTTTTTATATATTTAAGTCGAATTACAAATTCAAATGTTATTTTTACGAAAAAAAAAAAATAAATCATAAAGGGAAATAATTTTAAAAAAAATTGTTTAAATAAAAAATTATATTATTTTTTTCCCCTCTCTCAAAAAAAAAAGGAACAAAGTCAATTAAAAATGGAAGTAAATTATAAACAAAATTTGAAAGCATTTTTTCTAAATGTAATTAACGTCTTTCTCAAATGACTTTTAATTGGGAAAATAAATTTTTCAGAAAAAAAAAAATGAAAAGATTTTCTATTTGTATAAGGGAGGAATATTTTCTGAAATGGATCTAGGTAGATTTTTAATGAAAGAAGATAACAGAGTGTAATGACAAGTGAAAAACTTATTTAAAAAGAAGCAGAAAGGATCGCTTGCGACTTATAATTATCGCAATTAAACTAAGTGTGTGCGATGCTTTAACTGCCTTCGCAGCTCGAGCGTGAAGTTGTTCCGAGGGTAAAAGAGTGTGGGTCTCGTTGCGGTTTCCCTTTGGAAACAAAAGTTTTTTTTTTTTTTTATTTTTTTATTTTGCTTGCCACTACTTGCGTTTTAGTCGTGACCTTACTTTCTAAAAAAGTTGGAATTACGCAAAGAGTGTGAGACTAATTTTTTTTTTTTTTTTTTTTTTTTTTTTTATATAAATTCTTTCAGTTTACTCGACGCGACTTGTCACAACGCTCGTTATGAAAACAAAAAAATATAGTCACATGTCGAGAGAGGTGGAAAATTTTCAGATTGAAGAAACGCATTGATAAAGATAGGGAAATTTGATCAAAGAAAAATTAATATCATAAAAAATAAAAATTACAAAATATGAAAGAAAAATAAATAAACAAAAAAAAAGGCACAGGAAAAACAAAGTGTTACACTGAAAAAAGGGTTTGGTATTGACAATCAAAAATTTTTTTGTTGAATCAACAAAATTTTGGTTGTCCCAATTAAAATTTAATTAGGACAAGAAAAATCCTTTTTTTCTAACTTTGGTTGTGTCAAAAAAATTTTGGTTGAAACAATTAAAATTTTGTTAATCCAAGAAAAAAATTTTTGTTCCTTAATACCAACCAAATGTTTGGTTGTCAATACCAAATGCTTTCTTCAGTGTAATTGGTTTTAGTGGTAGCGTCATAGCTTTGCGATCGTCAAGGTTAAGCAACGTAAATTCCGGATAGTAACTATAGGTGAAATATCAAAAAAAAATTGAACAAAAATTAAAATCCCAAAAAAGTGGGAAAAATTTCAAGAAAAAATAAGAACAAAAAAAAAGTTCCACCTTGCATTATTTTAACATAAAATGCGTGTTTTTTTTTGTCTCTTTTTTTCTTTATGTGCGCCAACTATTTTAAAGCCCCCTTTCAAAGTTTTACAGTTTTCTTTTTACTGTAAATTGGCGAGCTCGATACCTAACTCGAAATACAGAAAAAAAAGCCTTTCTCAACGAGCGATGAAATTGAGTGGAAAAAACATGAAATGCACACATTGCGATAAAAACACTTAAGTCGATAAAAAAAAAATCGATTTCAAATGCAGATAAGATTATTTATTGTGAAATATATATATACATATATAATTCATAATAAGGAATCAATTTCTTCAGGTAAAATAATAAATATATATTTTTTTGTCGATAAATTGAGTATCTTATCTTTTTTGGGGAAAAAAAATAATGCAAAAAAAAAAAAATTTTGAAAAAAAATAATTGCATATATTTAATAAAATTTTCAAAACTATTTTGCTACTAATAACACAGAAAAAAAAATCAGATCTCAAAAATTAGTAACGTACGCACGTACTTTTTGAAGTACAACAAAAATGTGCCTCGTAGGTGGCGCCACTCTATCTCGAATGACTCATTTTTGAGTGCATCAAAAATGTGCCTCGTAGGTGGCGCCACTCTATCTCGTTTGACTCATTTTGTACTGCAACAAAAATGACTCCAGCTTTCTTTTTTTTAAGAAAAAAAAAAGCGCGAATTCTTATTTGAATATACTTTTTTTTTCAACGGATAAAGTAGGTCGTATCCATTATGGGGAAAAGTCTACTGGAAGTTTAAATGGCAAAAGAAGTAAAATAGACGTTAGATGTTGAGGTATTATGGCTCTCTGTAAATCCTTTGCAGGCTTCGAAAAGCTCCCCAGTAATAATGTTTACCAGCGATAAAAGAAAGGATCGAGTGTTGCAATGAAACAGGAGCCAGAAACGACAAAGTAAAGTCCGAGATGTGCAATATTCCTTTTTCTGCAATCTCCACTTTACTGTCTTGTATATATATATATAGGTAAAATTTAATACACACATTTCCAGGGAATGTTTCAGGAAAAGAAATTGCTAGATTATTGTCCTTACTTCTCAGATCATATTTTTCAAAAATTCTTTTATTAAAAACAATAAACGAAACGTTAATTTTTTTTTTCATATTTTTTATTTTATGGAGGAAAAATAATGGAGCGTTTATCATTTTCTAGTAATTTCCTGAGGCTGTTTTTCATGTGAACTTTTGAACTCACCCCACTGGTCATCTCTCCATTTATAAGTGCGACTAAGTAGTCGC